CTTGGCCTGGTTGGTTCTGAAGTATCTCTTCATCTTCAAGAAGGTTGGAATGATCTTCGTTTCACGGCATCGTAGCAAGAAAGCCAGTGAACACAAGAGCTGCGCCTTCTTCTTAAAGTTACCAGAAAAGGGGAGAAGAGGCGCACAACGGGGCGGTCGATACATATTAAGTATGCGAGATTAGCGGTGGTATGTTACGCAATTATATTTTGCACCGACGAGCGACAATAATCCGGGTTTGATTCGGCATCATAAACTGACGTGACTGGAGAATTTATACTAGGAATAAATTTGACACCAGCAAAACGCAGAGATCGGGAGGAATGGGGAGCTTTCGTATTCATTCCCCACATTTTCTCTGCCTTCGGTTATTTAATCTCGGTCTAGCTGATGACGTCGACTGATTGTATATGACTGGTTGAGTAATGAACACCATAGGACGACTGGAGCAGCTGGAGAGTGAAAGACGGTTACGGGCAGTTAAATTCAGCGAAAATTGGTTCTTTAGGGTTGCCACTCTATTTTGCGCTATATCGGACTGGGAATGGCGAACGGGCATGAAACATTGCATTAATTGGCTTGCATGACTCAAACCATAAGATCTTAGTTTCTGCAGAAAGACAAGTTGAACGTTGAAAAAGGTGCTTAAATTCTTAATGCCCCTTAAAATGGCCCGCAGCGCGATGCCAGAATGCCCGCATACGGTCGACAGCGGGGACCATAGAGAAAGTAAAATAAGTAATTTTACTTACTCTATGGCGGGGACTTGAGGGCCCGGTGGGAATTCTCAGCCCATGCCTGGAGAAATGGCCGAAAGCCCGAGGCCAGAATAACCAACTTTGACTATAATCAGCATTAATATCGAGGGAATCACGAAAAACAAGCAGGACATACTCTTCCAATTATGTCAGACAACAAATTGCGACATACTGTGTATCCAGAAAACACACAGAGATGAAAATTCGATCAGACCGGACGTTACTGGAATGGACCTAAGTATTGAAGCCCCCCATAATAAATACGGAAGTGCAATTTTCACTAAGCCCTCCCTTGCTATTTCATCGGTAGCAAAAAATATCCAGGACGATATTGAAACTCTCACGGTAGAAATTGYAAAACTTACAGTAACTTCTGTATACAAACCACCAAGAAAAGAATACAGATTTCATACAGCCTCTGGCAACATTGAGCAACAGTGTACACAAGTTGTCTACAATGCTACACCAAAGACTCAACATCGCCCCATTGGTATAAACATTTACAACGCCATAAAAACACCAATAATCCCATTTAGACGACGTTTTAACTTTAAGAAGGCAAATTGGAATGCTTTCACAGAAACCCTCGACAATGAAATTCATACAATCGAACCTACCCCAAACAACTACGATGTTTTTGTGGGCTTGGTCAAGCGCATATCTAAAAAACACATCCCTAGAGGTTGGAGACAGCAGTACATACCCGGAGTAGCTAACGACATTAAAAGCCTAATGGAACGTTATAACAAGCTATATGCGGAGGATCCCTTTAACGACGATACCATCGAATGTGGCTCAGCACT